AAATATTAATAATACAGTCCAAAGATCCTTTCATGAATTCTGCTAATTTGATTATGCTTTTGTTTATAGTTTTAGTGTAATGTAGTGGTTTTATCTCGCCAAATATGAGTTCCCTGTCAGTGTCATCAATCTTTGTGATGATCTGGAAGTCCAGTTTTCTACTATGGTTATGATCATCCAATAAACGTCTCTCCTTGGAACTTTCAGATTCACCATTGGCCCTTTGTTTCAATAATGAAAATGTAAGTATATATCAATATAATTAGTATACTGTAATTATTACATAAAACTTACTAAACTAATGATAATTCAGTTGTGTTGAATATTTCTTCAAGAATTTAGTGACAGTATCGATGGATGAAAGTGTCTTCATCCAATTTTTTACTCTCATTATAACTCACAGAAGATAAGTAGGTAAAACTGTAAGGCAAACAGAAATAAGTAATAATAATACTATTAACAAATATTTTTATTAAATTTAGAACTTACAAATTTCTTAAAATTATCTGCATAAAGTCAAAGATTTCCTTGTCTTCATCTGTTAGTAAGGTATTCCCTTTTGTCTGATTTTCACATCACCTTGTATTAAGTGATGGTCTTTCATTCAAAAGCTAAAACACCAATAAAAAAATTAATACGTTTTTGCTGATATTAATAATATCCAGGAAGATACTTACCGTATTGTATTCGATTATTACTAAGTGAGCAACAGTTGGCATCATTTTTGGAGCTAATGATCTTGGACGAGCTTTATTCCATGTCTTTTCGGAACATTCAACATATTCTGGTTTAAGTTCATTACAATACATAATCGACGATAGACATCTGCAAATATATATAAAATTAAATGTTATATCCAAAATTCTATAACTTTGCATAAAAATACATATAATATCAAATCAAATTCTTTCGCGTATGATAAAGTCAGATTGGCTTCTAATTTTTCAATTGACTTTAACTGAAAATTACGAAAGTCGATAGAGATATTGTATCCATCCTGTGTTATCTACTATAAAAAGAGAATGGAATTTAGACTATATCAGTATATGACACGAAAAGATAAATGTTTCTCAATACTTACGTCATTTTTGGAGACATTATTTATGATCACATTATTGATTGCATAACTCTATGATAAGACGATCTTGAATAATATGAATCAAATTAACTAATGTCAAAATTGTGACTATTATATTGAAAAGATTAATGTTGACTAATACTAACTTTATATTTTGTTGAATCCTCTACTGTTTTTGCTTTAAAAGGGTTATCATCTTCTTTACGTGTTATCTCTATATTGGACTCGTTGTGATCATTCGTTTTCTTAAAAGTAATAATGCAGATTAGAAACAAGCTTATACACTTCACAAAACGAAAAAAAAGCATTACTGAAGAGGCCTCAGTTGATGCTTCGGTTGATTCTTCGTTATTATAACATAGAGAGGAAGAGCGATCGCAAAGGTTGGGAGGAGGTGTAATAACAGGAAAGGGCTCTTCAGCTGGTCGTTTATTTGTGTTTTCTGCTCCTGTTATTTTCTGTGAATAATATATTAGTAAAGTAAACAAATGTTTAATTATTAACAATATTTCATACCAATATATCGTTAACATTTTCAATAGCAGAATGAACGTTTCTGATTGCTGTTACAAAGGTTTTTGTGGAGATACTTATCAACGAACTAGTAGCTTCAACCTGCAGTAAGTATAAGAAAATATATTAATATAGAGCCTAACGTTATTAAGCAAGTAAGAAAACTACAATCCCTGCGGTCTGTAACTGATTCTGTAATTGTTTGTTTAGTTCAATTTTATTCCAAAAAGCATTGACATCAAGAAAATTATCACGATTAGTAAAAATATAGCCTTCATAGTTCACGCAGAATTAGTACATTGCAAAAGCAGGTACAACAGGCATTCTGACTATAAGGTAGATAGCATTCCGATATCACCGTAGTTGTACAGGGTTCCAATTTCCCATAGCAGACATTCTGACCATAAGGTAGACAGCATTCCGATATCATCGTAGCTATGAGAGCTCTCTAATCATTCATGCAAAGAACGATGATAGAAGCTCAAGTGTACTTACCTTAAAAATATTGTTCAACTGGCTAGCAATTTTCTTCATTTCCTCCGTGCCATTGTTGATGAGACAATAGAGATCCATTTGAAGTTTGTAGGATTCTGTCCGAAAAGAGAAAGTAAAGTCTACTTGCTTCGAGCGATATTCATAAAAACCTAGAAAACGATAGTTTTTAGGTTGGGTTTTATCAAAGTAAGCATACCAACTGGAAGACATTTTCGAAACGTAAGTATTTTTTTGGACAAAAGCTTGGGATTTATATAAGAAATGTCGATTGGAAACTACTCACATGCTTGTATACCACAATCAGTCCGGTTACATCTGCGTATTACATAATTCTGTTACTATCTATTAAAATAAACAAAATCTTGACCAATCTAAGACATAGATAATATAGAAATTTTTGATTTGATACCAATGCTTTATTAATTTTTTTTAAGATAAACACAGGGATTGTGTCTCTGGATCAACAAGGGGGACTTTTTATTATTAAGCTTGAGTATATGCAGGAAGTTTCAAAAATAAATTATATAGTGCAATGACTTGTTACCACTATCCTAATGATACTACGCATTTATAGGATCTGGATCCTCAGATGAAAAACTGAGAAATATTAGCATATAAACACAATCCCACACTAGATATTGACATGTAAATATATTGCGCTTAATGTGCCTTAGCTTTATTGATTGTAATTAAAAAAATACATATTTTGTTCATACTGCAGAATAATATCTTTTGCTATTAATCTGCCATCACGTGGCTACGATCGCGAACTTGGGTTTATTGCTTGAAGTGTTGCAGAAAAGATAATATTCTTCCAATGTACATTGGAAGGAATACAACTTTGCTAATTCAGGATCATAAGGGAGCTGATTTCCATTTTGCGGTACCATGAGCCATATAATCCATAATTCACATGTTTTCCATTGCAAATAGGGCATGGTAAGCTCTACGGCTGAAGTGATGCAAAATTATAATTATCGATCCCCCTATAGCTATTTCAGAATTTCAAGTATATGAAGTGCTCTAAGACGGATTTGATAATTAATTCTGGATCAGGTTTGGCTTCGAAAGTGATAGGTCCTTTTTCTTCACATTATTTGAAAAAAGATAAATAGGATATTTTGTTTTCTGACTTTGAATTTATGAGAAGGTGGGCTTTTGATAATTACTATGGTTCATGACCAGTTTCTTTTTTATATCTTTTATATAAGTTGGAACAAATTTTATCTGTCAAAATATTTGGTAAACCAGTTAATTTGACATACCAATCCAGATATTCAGAGGTTAATATTTTATAGGATTTGGCCTGAATATCAAAACTTTTGGATGCTAGATAAACAAACTCCTTAATGTTTTGTATCCTTTTAGGGATAATGATTTCCAGTTTTTCATCACACAATACTTCAAGAAGGAAAATTCCATTATCTTAACAAATACATCATTTTTGCCAATCATGATTAATGATGTCCTCAAGTTTTTTAACATCTTTATACCAGCTAGTGCTATGAAACTGATGCTGAGCTCCTTGCATCTCTAATGCAATTCAGCATTTTTGGAAGAAGGCATCAAGTTCTAATCCGTTCAAGAAAGGAGGGCGATATTCGATAATAAGTTTCTCATTAAAAATTTCCTTAGCTATCTAGATACATCTATTTTAGAATTTGCAATTTTTCTTAGATTTTCTTCCTGATTGATCCTGCTCTAGTTTTAAGATTCTAGTCTCAAACTCTTTAAGCCTAGCATTATATCTGTTATTTTCTTTCATCATCTACTTTATAGGTTTTGCATTTTTGAGTTTAAGCTTGATAATGCGTCGTCTCAATGAATCTATTCAGATTGCATATCTGCGAATTATAAAATATTATTTA